AAAGCCATATGAGTGATATGTTTGGACAATAATTAAACGAAAAACTTTTTCTTATCCGAAAATAAAATTTTTATTTATTTATAAGATCTCTAAGATATTCCTGTACGTATTCTGTACTGATGTATATGCTCTGAAAAAAAAAAAGAGAGAGAATCATTATAGAAAATCTGTCATATACACTGTCTGTTGTCATTTAATGTTATGATAAAAATTGTTTTCTACGGGTAATACAATAGTCAAGGGTATATTCATGTTAACTAATATACATATTCATTACGTTGTTTGTCTGTAGTTAAGCACAAAGCTATACAATGGTCTATCGGTGCTGTGCCCGCCACAGGTATCGGAAATACGTATTCATTATCTTCACCGCATTTTGTTTGTGATGTTATTAAATATTAACACGTGTTTATAGGCTGTAAATATAGTTCGAGAGGAGTTACAAAAATTGCACAACTGTTGGGAAGAGTAACTATTAAAATCAAATTAATGTAAAAAAAAAAGTGTGTTAAATGTGTCGGTGAAAAATAGAACTTTTATTTATATATTCGATGCCATTATTAAAGAATTAGCACAAATAATAAAAAAATCAACTTTTAGGTGCACAACCAGGACGGAAAACTAGAACTGAATTTGAGTATTGCCTAAAATTTGAGAATCGCAAGCCTATAGAATACGCTGTACAGTTACACTGATCATATGGTCAGGCCCACCTATAAAATATTTCCAGGCCTGGGGAAGGGAAATAGGTTTTCTAAAAACGCTTCATATGAAATTGATTGAAATACTATTTAACTGTTTTATAAACACACTAATATACCAAATACTACTATTTAAGTACTTTAGGAACATTTAATAGTGTTGTCAAGCACAGTGATTTTAAAAGATTAGTAGCATCAGGTTTATATATATTTTAAATATTCATATTGCAAAACAAATGCTGAAAATGCAGAGAAACTGAGAGAAAACGAAACTTGCGAAACACGTCAACCTTAGTGAAGATCTGAATTTTCTTCGAGAGCGGTTTTTAATTATGTATATTTAAAAAAAATTATAAATTTAGAAAAATTTAATATTTTAAAAAATCTCAAATTTTCACTCCTTTTATTTCGGGACCCTAAGAGTTCGGGGTCTGGGACTTTTGCCACAGCTGTGCCCGCTCCCTTTTTGGGAGCACTGCATTTAATATAGACTGGCTGGACCCGTGGAATTTCCACGGGTGTTGACAACTTAGATATCATCATTACTCTCTCATATATATTTCTGCAATTAAAATATATAATTGTAATGACATTGTAATGATATACATATTTTCCTGGAAGCAACTTGAAGCTTTATTTAATATTTTTTTCTTATTTGTATATTGTTTTTTTTTTTATTCTAATTAGTTGTTGAGCCAAAATTGTTTCATTTGCCTTTGCATGCTATTGCTAGTTAATATAGATGCATTCCATATGTAATAAATTACTTTAACAAAACTATATTTAACTATCTTAGTTGTCAATATCCGTGGAATTTCCACGGGTCCAGCTTATATATTTTGAGGTCTGGAACTGGGTCCACGTCCTGCAGGTCAACAAAAATAAATTAAAGATTATATTTCTCTAAAACTACTTCATCGATTTCTTTCATATTGTAAACATAACTGACAAAAAATATGTTCTATCACGTGTCCAAGCAGCAATGCTATCGGATTTACCATTGCGACATAATTATTTTTTTAGTTACCCAGCAGGGTTTTCGGTCAGAAAACGTAACGGTCGTACATACAAACAAGCAGAATAATAGTATAGTTGCGTCAGCGAGTCACATGACACTGTGACGCAACGTTTCTAGAACTATCATGTACTTTGTCGAATGTTCAAGGTCTTACTAGAAATAGGTTACGCTGGTATAAAAGCGGGGAAGGTAATGTGTGTGTAGATAATGAGTAATTGAACTGCAGTCACACGGTATTGTTGAAGATAACGTTCGTTCGTTACAGTGTTGTTTTAGCGCGAGTATTGAGATTAAGTGTATCGCAGAGTTATATTCG